GCTAGTACCTACATATCTAAAATACTACCGAACAAAATGGAATGGTCGGGAAGAAATTGAAAGGAACCCACAGATTGTGATAATGAAGCCGAGATACGTAACAACCACACTAGACGCTGCACACCAGTTCGCAGATTGGTCACATAGAACCCCAGGAAGTTTTCATTCTTGGTGTATTGCACTCCATCGAAATACACAGAGATGGGGACTACGTGCTCCTGTTTGAACCCCTGCTCAAAAGCTTTGATGGTCACAGGGTGCTTGATGTACAAGTCACTGAGCGAGGCATCTGGCTCCAAAAATGAAGAAACATCAGCAGGCTCTGGCGGTTGAGACCCCAAAAACCCCAACTTGGTCAGCTCTTGGCGGATCATAATGGAGGCCACTCTTGTAGGGTGATCGACCACTGTTCTCCCAACCGACTTCTTCAGGTACATGGGCACGCGAACTAATTGCACATCTGGTTCCGGAAATTCTTTGCTAAGATGGCACCTGTGGACTTCGGTTGGGTATAGTCTATACTGAACAATACTGCACACGTAAGCTTTGCCTTCCCCCAATAGTTTCCCACATGAGTGCAGGGTTTGGCCCCAGTATAGAAACCAGCCTAGTTGTTCATCAAAAATCAAAGTAGCAGATTATGCTCTTAAAGTTATGGAAAACCGTACCTTAGGTGCTCCGCCCCGTGTCTGCTAGCTGTTTTGGGTCTCAACGCTAGGTCCTCTGCCCCGCTTCCGCCCGAAGCTCCATGCCAAAAAGCCAGTAAACAAGTGTCAGTGGCTGTGGTGCTACCGTCAAGGTACTTCTCGATCAGAAGTGATCGAAACTTTTTCGCCGCATGATCCTGGCTCTTTGTTTCCTCCAGAAGAGACTCTGAAGACACTGCTTGGAGTTCCGAACGGACACGCTTGAAGCTCATGATGCCCAAGACCCCGCCATATAAACGAGTGAAACTACCCATGTGAGCTCAAGGGCACTGAATAATCGCAGGCAGACACGCATGATGAGTCACAGCCGATGGTGTTGAAAAAAGCACTGTCATTGCATATTTGTCGCCCTCCCTTTCCCCTTTCCCAGCACGCACGCGCTAGGCTCTGAAGATCAGTCGATTTGCTGATCCACCCCAGCAATCAAGCACAAGTGTTTGCTCAAATCAGGGCTTTCCGCCACATTGTTGGTGCTTGTCAGACACTGGCCAAAGCCCTAACTCGCGAAACTCGTAGATTTGGAGTTTGTAGCATACCATCCGATTAGTTCAAAAACGTTGGGAAAACCCTTTTCTTTGTTTTCACCACATATTTGAGCTACTGCATGTACAGAGGTATGGGGATCCAATTTTAACATAATATATGGTCCAGTTTTACCTGACTCAGCAATTGCAATGTGCTTTGACAAGGCCGTACACCGTAACCCTAAACCCTCCACCCCCAAACCCTAAACCCGAACCCCTAAACCCCAAATACCTTATTTCTACTGGCGTACAAGATCCTCAGACCCCGGTAAGAGATAGAAAGCGGAACCCCCCCCCACTTTGGTACCCCATAGACTCTATATAAATTCACTAATTTCTAGGAGCCTTTCATGGGTTCTACTTTCTAGATCCTACCCGACTACTCCAATCGCACCTGGGAAGTCAAGAGCAAACATTCGCAGCTCAAGATTGCAACACCCAAGAAACTGCTCAGCCGGATCCAAGGCGAACTACAATCAATTGCTGGCAGGCAGGCTCGCATTGGAGGACCCACGTTTGCACTTTGCATTCTTTCCTTTACTGGATTTTCCCTTAGCCTTCGACTTAGGCGGGGCACGCAACGAATCCGTAGCCTCACGCTTTGCGTTAGCCATCGACTGGATTTGAAACGAAGTCTCGGCCATAGCCTGGATTTTTGGCCCCAAAGTCGTGATAAATTCGACGAGTTTGCCGACGTAGTCCTCGCCCAATTGTTTCTTGATCTTTTGGGTCTCCTTCGGAGATAGGGCAGCAACCTTGAATTGCTGAAATGCTGTGTTGTTGGCATAATCCTGAACAACAGCGCCACGCTGCTGCTTGTAACTAGCAACCAGCTGTGTTGCCCACTGCCAAGCCCCTGGGTCCTGGGCCATGCTTGTAGCAATACCTGCCATGCAGTTGTCAGACGACTGCTCAGCAGCGAGGAGCTCCTTCAGCTCTCGCTCTTTCTTAGAAGCAGNNGCCTGTAGTACGCTTGGAACCCTCCCCGTCACCACCTGAGCCTTCACCCTCCTTCTTAGGGCTAACCTGGTTGTTGGGGCTAGCCTCAGACGTGTCAGGACCTAGCTGCTCGGCTTTGCGCT